TTCTTAAAATAGGATTCAAGATTAATGCTGTGAGTCCCGGAGACGGACAAGGGTGTTATTGAGAGGTGCAGCTTCATGGTGGTTCTCTACAGAGGCTGTTACCAGTATTCCCACTATATTGGCCCCCCTGTGTCAGCGAACAGAGGCTTTTGTACAACACCCCTGGACTCAGTCAAAGGTCTAAGAGGAGAAGGCTGCAGGATATCAGAGGGAGAGCTGCAGAGCACAGTGGGGAAGCCACCACCACTGCCACCAGAAAGGGCAATGGAAACTGAAACGAAATGCTGCCCTTCACCAGCAAAGGAAAGAGCTCAAGTTCTGGGATGCTCCTAGGATTCTCTGGCACCTTCCCCTGAATGGCCTCCCTGCCACTGGCGGCTGTCCCACAACCATGTAGATAAGATGCACTTGAACTTTTTGTTCCAGAGGATCCCCTGTTCTCTGCTCCACCCAAGCCTTTCACCTCTCTCGCTTCAGGCTTCAAGGCTCCACTCCATCTCTTGTAGTTACTTGAGATGATCTTTAGAATCAACACAGGGTGACAACTATAGGCTCCTTAGGTGTCTGAGAACTTTGGAACCAGGGCCAGGTATATCTTCAGCTCCTCGGGAAGGCTTACTTGATCTGGTTTTAATCAGTTTGGGCCATATGGCTGTTATCTAGGTATATTTGTATGCTCAGTGACTAGCTCAGTGCTCAGCTCATTGTGGGTGTTCAAACAGTCCACAAATATCACTGAATGAATTCATGAACACCCAAGGCCAGCACTAAAACAGACACATCCCCTCTACCACAAAAGGGGCCACCACGGAGTCAAATACACTCAGGTTTTTTGAAAAGCATCTCTCCTCTTTCCAGCCATTTCTACATTAGCATTCTAATTGTGGCTTTCCAATCTCTAGTAATGGAAAAAGGGGTTACTTTTAAATTATCAGCATCCAAAAATTTCAAAGGAAAGCCCATTTGAAGTGCCATTACCAAGAACTATATCCAGTCACTTAAAAATGGCTATTACTGGTCTGGGCAAGAAAATACACAAGATTCCATACATACGCTGTCAAGTTTGGCAAGAGATTTTAGACAACTTCCACCCTTCCCACCCAATCCCAAGTAAATAGGGCATTTGTTTGTATTTCCACATTGGCCTCATGAAGGAAAATACCTCCTCCACCTAGAAAAACAATCTGTAACATTCAGACATGGAACTTTGCGGGCAAACTTTGTAGTAAGCATGAAGTACATAGTGCCCTTAAAAACATAAAGCAGAAAAGTGTCTTTAATAAAGGTTTCTCCTGCCAGCATTATCCTTAAGTTTACACTTATACCTGGTNAAAAAAAAAAAAAAGCATCCTTAAAAGAGATCTTTGCTCTAAAAGAAAAGCTTAAACTCTTAGGCGTGTTTCAAAAATGTTCACACTATCGTGGTAATCATCCTTTATCCCTCTATTGTGTATATAGGCCAAATCTTTCACATGTAGGAGAAATTACTCTCATTCAACCTATAGATTTCAATCAAGGGCAAGTGGGAGCATGAGGGGGGTAACTTGAAGAAACACAGCCATAGAGGAGATGCTTAATTTAGCTTTACAAATAATATGTGAAACAGTTGGCACCAATAAATATGTCAGATACACTAACCCAGCAACACTTCCCAATATTAACATGTAATAAATATAAACATGAATGCACGCACATGTACACATACAGATGTAACCCACGACCAATATTAACTTTGAAAACAGGCCTTTACACAAACAGGCTGAAGTAAAATAAATATGTAGTCACTTTTGTTTAGTTTCGGCTCTTTCTCAATGTCAAGAATACAAAAACCCTGGAAAAGAAAAGAATGCTTCCAAAAATATTCACTAGGCAAACTAGCAAAGTAGGACTGTCTCCCTGCAGATCAGAGGAAAATCTACCTCAGGGTGAAGCTGGCTGGTGCTGGGAGGGCTGGGAGTGAGAGTTAGTTTTGTTCCGGTGTTTTCAAATGTTGATGGGCTCAATGGTTTAGCATCCGGTTCATTTGTTGTTGTCTTTCTCTGACTGGTTTTTTTCCTTTCTTCTGAAAAGTCTTCTTGTGAGGACCTTAAGCTCTAACTGGCACTCAAGGGTGTTAAATACAATTTAACATTTTAAAGGCTAGTAATTTTACTTCCTGAGAACAATTACCATGTTTTCATTTAGATTTTAAAGCTCTTTTTTGAACAATGTAGAAAAAACAAGGTTGATTTCAGAGTCTCAATTGTGAATAGTTTCAACTATTAATAGGAGGCAGTTTTCCTCAGGGCCATACAGGACATGAAATAATTGATTCGGCCATACAGGACATGAAATAATTGATTCGCCTACACTAAGCAAACAAGTTCAGGGTAGAGGCCTCGCCTAGGCAGGCTAGTTTGCAGGCCTTGAGGGAAGAAATCTCCCATTAGCAGTCTGCTATCTATCATTGATGTGGAAACTAGATTTTCCTAAAGTAAAACCTCACCTGAAAACAGCCTGGCTGTAACAAAACATTATGACCCAGGAGGAAGCAAACGGACAAACATCAACAAGGGTGAAAACCTAGCTCTAACTCATGAAATGTTTGCATAGATAAGACACTTCAAATTTTTATTCTTAGCTCATTTTTAAAGAAATTGACATTCTATATGCCTACTGCATTTCTGGATTCTTTAGCAAAATAAAAGAAGAAAATCCAGTTTAAGTTATCCTTTTGTTAAGCAGGTTGGTGTGCTTTCTCTTTATTTATTCAGCAAATATTACCAGAGCACCCACTATGTGCTACTCTGGTGAGATAAAATGTAGTACTTCCTACTTGGAAGTAATAATTATATCTTATTGTTTTATAATTCTTAGCGGAATTTTTCATTCATCCTCGTAATATGTAAAAGCAAACCCCACTTTTGGAGCATGCTTATTTCGCATGGTATTTATAACCCTGGTTACATTGGAAGCAGACATCTGACTTACACATCTTATCTCAAATTGAACAGATTTCAATCCAAGCTGGGGGTGGGGTGGGGGGGGGGCACAGCTCACACAAGACCTTCTGCTTGGCCAAATCACTGCAGCAAGCTTTAACCCCATCAGAACATTTAACCTGTTGGGCTCCCTTCTCCCCAAACTCTTCTTAATACCCTCTGGGAACTTAATAACAAATTGCTCAAATCACTCATTTCAAATCCAGGCCTTTGGGCACAAACTCATATCCTAATTGATACAGCGGAAGAGATAAGGGGTTTTCAGCACTTTTTCCACAAATGGGGACTCCAACTGACAGTTAAGATGATACTAACATCAGAAATTCAAGGACTGTCCTCAGTGCCCCACACTGGGGACCCCTGAGGACACCTTCCCCCAACATTTATTCTCCACACTTGGCTCCCAGACCCCTTCCTGCTGTCTTTAGAGACCCTGGGGCTGGGGGAAGAAAGGGGGGCTGTCTGTGAGTCTGCAATCACCAGCTCACTGCTGACTCAGTTGACTATGGCTTCAGCTTTAATTTAATTTTTAATACTTAGGTGGTTTTTTCTAGCAACAAAGCTTGGTGTTTTCACTACTTTTGTTTCTTTTTGGCTAGTGGTAAGGACCCGGTGCCTGGCTCTTGGCTTGGCTGGGGGTGCGGGGTGAGAGAGGACAGTTGGCACTGCCCCCAGGGAGAGGGCCAGGTGGCTTGGCTGGAGACAAAGGCATCTAAAGAATCTCACCTGGTTTTTTGCCTTCTCCCAGCATGCCCTGCTCTGCAGCAGGGGCTTTTGGGGTCCTGGTAGGCTTCCTAGCTCTCTCTTCCCCAAGTCCTGAGCAAGTGTTGTGGGGATGGTGGCTCCTGTCCACAGGCTCTGAGTCTCCAGGGGTGTTCGGAGCTGCCCGGAGCCCATGTCCTGGCCAGACCCCGCTGGTGGGGTGAGGTGTTGGTCCCCGTCCTGGTGCAGGTTTACAAGCTCTAGAGGTACAATGCTCTGGTCTCCCTGGGGGCAAGTGGGAACTGCATCCCCTACTCCTGCTCTCCATCCCCAAAAGCAAAAGATGGGGTCAGTCGGCCTTCAGAGTTGGGTGGGGAGAGAGATGTCAGGCAGCCGGGAGGGAGAATGTAAAGGCTAAAATAAAACCAACAAAAGTTTGTCAAGTAAAAAAGAGAAGAAATTCAAGGACTGCCTATCAACCTCTCTGGAAGAAAACTCAGCACCTTTAAGTAGTTCGACAGGGAAGTCTGATAAGTAATGACAAAGGTCTCTTGTAAACCTCACCACCCTGGAAAACCAAAAAATTAACAACCTGATGAAATGAGAATTAGCTAAGAAATACTATTTTAAACACGCTGTATTTTTATGTGAATTTTCAAGTACACTGACTTCTTTTTTAATTTTTAATTTATAGTTGGCATAGCATATTAATTAGTTTCAGGTGTATAGCATAGTGATTAGACGTTTATATATCTTATGAAGTGACCACCACAATAAGTCTAGTACCTATCTGACACCATACATAGGTATATTATTGACTATATTCCCTATGCTGTACTTTACATTCTCCTGACTACTTGTAATTGGCAATTTGTACTTTCTAATCCCTTCACCTTTTTCAGCCAGCCCCCAACCCTCCTCCCATCTGGCCACCATCAGTTTGTTTCTATATTATGAGTTTGTTTCTTTTCATTTTGTTTGTTCACTTGTTTTGTTTTGTTAGATTCCACAAATAAATAAAATCATACTGTATTTGTTTTGGTCTGACTTATTTCACTTAGCGTAATATGCTTTAAGTTGATCCATGTTGTTGCAAATCCAAAATTTCATTCCTTTTTATGGCTGAGTAATATTCCATTGTATATATATATACCACATCTTCTTTATCCAAACAACTACTGAGGGACACCTAAGTTGTTTCCATATCTTAGCTATTGTGAATAGCGCTGCAGTGAACATAGGGGTGCACATATCTTTTTGAATTAATGTTTTGGGTATCTTCAGATAAATACCCAGAGGTGGATTTGCTAGGTCATATGATAGTTCTATTTTTACATTTTTGAGGAACATCCATACTGTTTTCCATAGTGGCTGCACCAATTTACAATCCCAACAGTGCATGAGGGTTCCCTTTTCTCCACAGCCTTACAAACACTTATTCTTTGTTGACTTTTTGATAATAGCCATTCTGATAGGTGTGAGATGGTATATCATTGTGCATTTTCTGGATGACTAGTGATGTTAAGCATCTTTTTATGTACCTGTTGGCCACCTGTACGTCCTCTTTGGAGAAATGTCTATTCAGATCCTCTGCCCATTTTTTAGTTGGATTGTTTGG